TTAAAAGGCACGTTCCAAAAGCCCTGGTGAGTCACAGCAATGCCATGAGTCCAGGGCCTGGAAAAACCGATTTGTACACAAGGAGTTGTATTTGAGCAGTGGGAAACGAGCACAGAAACTGCAGTAAGTCAGCCTCTGCACAAAACCAGAGCCTTCTGAGGCACTCTGTGGGCTCCTCCAGATTTCTAATTAGTCAGAGCTGCCTGTGCCTGGTTTAAATTACTGCCAGAGCCTCGGGGCAGATCGAGTATCTCTCCCAGCAAAGGCAGTAAGGAAATCCACCTGTCTGATCTGGGGTGACTCCAGCAGAGCCAAACCTCCCCAGCAGTTGTCTGGAATCATTTTTAATCAGAATGGCACTCGGGGATTGCACCTAAAGGATGAAGAGAGAACCTGATGGAAGCAGCAGCAGTCGGGCCCCAGGGGCTGGAAGCCCAGCTCGTGGAGATTGTCACAGCCTGAAATGTCATTAATTACCAACCTGGGCTCTGGAAGCAAACAGCACATCCAGACCTCTCCACGGGCTCATTCCTCATGGAAATTACTCAGCTATGTCGTTCAAATGCTTATTAGTGTATCACTGCAAAGCTTTGATGACAATAGCTCTGAACATTTATTTTCATTAGGGATGATGCAGCTATAAAGGAGAATATTCCCAAGCTTCTAATCAAATCTGTCTCCTTTGTAATTTACAAAAGAGTACAGAAACCAAGACAAGCCCTTGTAGCTACGTGAAGAATTACTTTGCTGACATCAAACATGATATCATTTAAATTTCTGAGCCTAACACTCAGGTGCTCTGCTGCAGTGAGGATCTGCTCAGGAAGCATCCCAAGGGAAGGAACTACCTCACCTCCTCCAACCTGTGAGACAGCATACCCTAAACCAGCCCACAAGTGCTCTGTGCCCAGGCCAGGCACACCAGCTGCTCCCAGGGGATACAGAGATAAAGATTTAGAGGAATTAGGACAGAAATCCCACCAAAAGCAATCCCAGCACATGGCCCCTAACAAATCACTGAAACTCATGAAGCTCAGAATTAAAGTCACTCCTTTCTTCTCCACTCCCTCCCCAGCTCATTTTTTCAGGCGAACTGAACTTCCCAGCTGTTTGCAGCTGGATTCAGGCTGCAGCCCAAGATGAAGCCAGCTGAGCTGGTTCCTCTGGGTGATCAGCCCTGTGCCCGTTGTGGGTATGATGCCACTTCATGGCCACGCATTAATTCAGCTCATGAGGAACTGATGCGGCAAGCCCTGCCCCTGCTCACCTGCAACTCCCAGCCCTGCTTTTTGGGTTCTCCCGACTGCATGTGAGAGCCTGGAGGATGCCACGAGCACCAACACACACCAGGACTCCCAGCTCTCTCCTCCAGCTAAGCCTGCCCTGAGATCACCCCGTGATGCCACCTCCAGTGCCCCTGCCAAGCTCTGATATTTCACTTTTGAGGTTTCCCAGGGCTCGTGCTGCTCCCCTCAGCAGCACTGACAACAAATCTGTCCAATACATGAAACATAAGGTCCTCAGCAGCAGATTGAACACTCAAGGCAGCCAAGAACATCCATGAGATAATTGCTGCAAAATATTTAACACATCTATTAATTATCGTGGAATCCTGTTCCACTGAGCTAATCCCCTCTTTAATTAGTTTCCTACATGTATTTCATAACTCCATATAATTCATCTGTGGACTCACAGGCTTCTCATAAATGCCATTCCTCAGCTTTGATGGAGCTCTTGCCCATCCTTTCTTATTTCCCATATCAAGGTGTTCCTTCCCTGATGCCAGGTCTGGTGTTTGGGGTGCAAGGCCCAGGATGGCACCCCTGGAAGCTGGCTGGAAGAAGGGCAGTGCCATTTCTCCCTGCACTCAGACAGCTCCTTGTGGAGTTTTATCTTTTTCTTTGTCAGGTTTGGGATTAAATGTGTGAGATGGTATTTTTTGTTTGGATTCAGAAGTTTATTAGTTTTTTATCTATATCATAGTTTCACAATCCATGAGTTTTATAGTACTCACTCTAATAAACTAAAAAATGAAGCTGTATTTTTTTTGTCTATAAGGTTTTTAAGGATAAACTATTTGCCTTTATTAAGGCAACAACGCCAGGGTGCCCAGCCCTGCTGACCTCAGGGGAACGTGGCTGCCCTCCCACAGCCCAGGAAGCTCTGAGGGAGGGAAAAGCAGAGCAGGAGGAGACAGCCCTTCCAAACACAGCCCCAGGAGCTGCAGCAGGCAGGCAGGGATCAGCCCCAGGGGATGGACCCTCCCACAGACCCCAAACAGCTCCCAGCACTGCTTCTCCTGGGAGCAGCCCCCTCCCTGCAGGGCCCTGAACACAGAGCCACCCCCTGTGCAGCATTCACACACCCCAGGGATCCCCCTGACCCCCACTCCATCCCAGAGCAAAGAACCAACAGACGAGTTCTCCAGCTCAATAGAACACAATAAACTCAACAGAACACAATAAACTCAACACAACACAATAAACTCAACAGAACATAACAAACTCAACAGAACAGAGCATATACTGCTGCCTGTGGGACCCTGCTGAGTGTCTCCCATGTCTTCATGAGCCCTGCAGTGCTTCTCAAACCACTCTGAAAGCCTCAGCCCTGATACCTGGAAGTGAAACCTGAGAGAAAGGAGAAACACAGCAAACAGCCCGACAGCAACGCGGCAGAAAGGAAACGAAAGCCGCCAGGGCGCACACCGGCAGCGCCCGATGCGAACGGCCCCGGGAGCGCCTCGGGACCCCCAGAGCGCCTCGGGACCCCCGTGTGGGACCCTGCTGAGTGTCTCCCATGTCTTCATGAGCCCTGCAGTGCTTCTCAAACCACTCTGAAAGCCTCAGCCCTGATACCTGGAAGTGAAACCTGTTAAAAGCCATCCCTGCTATGGGATTTTGCTCTGGGAAACAAAATAAGGGCCTGGTGACTCCAGGAATGCTTGACTAGCACACGAAATGTGAGCAGCAGGTGAGCAATATGAAACAGTCACCATTAATGAACACCAAACCTGCAAAACCCAGCGACTGGGTGTCACTTACACAGCTTTTAACGAAAGCAGTGCCAGCAGTGCCAGCACTCCCCGGGAGCAGCCTCCCCCAGCCCAGCACGCCCAGGGCACCCCCAGTGCGTGGCACAGGGGCAGGAGCTGCCCACACACCACACCCCAGCGCCCCGCTGCCCTCAGGTGCCCGGGCAAAGGTCAGTGGCAGCCTCCCCACCCAGGCTCAGCCTGCCCTGCATTCCTGCGGGCAGCACCAGGCACCCCGAGCCGTTTATCCCGCCCGGTACAGCCCGGGCTGCTCCACATTCCACCCGGGATTTGGGGCTGGGGGCTGGCACACGCGAACGGGGAACGCCACTAATCCCCCCAACACAAAAAAATCCTTTCAGTCATGTGAAATGGGAACGGGAGGCTGGTTGGGAAGTTGTTCCCTCTTTAATAGCAAAACAAAGCTATTAAAAATCTCTTCCTTGGGCTTTATGAGCTGGCACACCTGCCCTGGGCTGTGTGGGCTCCAAGGAAAACAAACACCCGTGGAGGGAGTTCTTGGAAAGGAGGCCACCAAGACATAAACTCAGATAAAAACTTTACACTGTCAGTACTGGTAGACTTTCAATTTATACTCTCAACAGAAGAACTGCTTTTCAAATGAAATCTTTACCAAAAGCAGAAGGAAGTTTCTGCGTTGATTTCTGCCAGAGAAGCAGTGTGTGACATGGGTGAAATTTGCATGCTGAGCTCGGGGACAGCTGCAGGGCACTTCCCTGGCTGGGAACAGATTTGTTGCTACCCGGTTAAAAACCTTCCCGAGCCCCGCAGCTGGGAACGGCTGGGAACTGCAGCTACAGGGCTCCTCCAGAGTCCTGGGGAGGCCAGCGGGGTCCGGGAGAGGCGCTCGGGGCGTTCTCCGCTGGGAGAGAAAGGAGAAACACAGCAAACAGCCCGACAGCAACGCGGCAGAAAGGAACCCTCCCTCCGCCCGCGCCGCGCGTGACGGGCGCCCCCGGCCCGGATGTCCCGCCCGCGGCCCGGATGGCGCTGCGCTCAGCGCCGCGGCTCTTCCTGCGCCGCTCGCTCGCTGGCTGGCACCGGGCGCTGCTGCTTCACGAGGGGCAGCCGGACCGAGCCCCCGGGCAGCCGCCGCCCCGCATCCGCGCTGGTACCGCCCGCCGGCTGCCGGACTACAACTCCCGGCCCGCCTTGCGCTGCCGCCGCCGCTTCCCAGGCGGGGCGCCGCACCCCGCGCGCTCCCATTGGGCGCCGTGCACGGCCCTGAGCGCACGGGCCAATGGCCGCCGAGTTGCGGCGCGGGCTGCCCAATGAGCGGCGGCGGGGGGTCAGGGCCCGGCCCGGCCCGGCCCGGCTCGGCTCCGGTGTGAGCCCCGGGCAGGAGCGGCTGCTGCTGCCGGGGCTCGTTGCCGGCCGGCCCGCGGGGCAGTGGTCGATCCCTGAGCCGGGAGCCCGCCCGGGGCTCTCCGTGCCCGTGCCCGTCCCGCCGGGATGGGCGCTGCCCGGCACGGTGTCGCTGCCCGGCTCTGTGCTTTGGGCTCGTGGCGGCAGGGCGGTTGTTGGCGGGAGGGTTTTCCTTTGGGAAGCTGTCGTACAAGCCGTGAGTTCTGTTAATCAGAGTGGCACTGTGCTGGAGTGGTGTGTTGGAGCTCTGGAATCCGTGCAAACACCGTGCCATGGAACAGTGGGTAGAAGTACAGCCTCACTTGTGTGCCTGAGGAGCTGGAGGCAGACAGCTCATCTTCTGGGTCCCCCAGGAGGGAATATTTGAGATTTGGGTCTTTGCTCACAAAATTTCATCCAATAATGAAGAGGCCATTAAGGAGATGCATTTTGAATATGGCAACAGCTAAAATTTCTGACTAAACTTTATACAGTCTTTTCATTCAAGTAGTTCCACACATGGAACAGATTTTTAAACCGTGTCTGCATGTGCATACCCAGGGCAGAGGGACTTTCCAGCCTGTGTATCTTTCAGGGTGACTTTTGGGGACCTTATTTCATAATTCTCTCTTTTCCCTGCTGCTGCACAGGTTTGCTGTGAGTGTTGGCTACTGGAAGGACCCTTACATCCAGTATTTTGTGAGACAAGCCAAGGAAAGGAAGGCTCCTGAGATCAACAGAGGCAAGTTGGAACAGGGATGGGGGCACCTTACCTGTCCTGACAAAACCTCTGCACCCTGGGAGTTTTGGGGGGCAGAGAATGTGTGTGAGACAAGGTTTCTTCACAGCAGTAATTCCATCCATGCTGTGTCTGATATTTTAAATATCAATCTGTGAGTCTCTTCCTTTGCTTTCTGAGTTCTGAATGGGCTGTCTCTGTGTGTCCCAGTGCAGAGATCTCCTCAAAGCAATCAGAAATGTTGGTTTGACTCAGGGCAGTTGTGTCTCTGCACGTGTAGAATTATTCTTTTCTGCTGGAGGTGAAACTTGACTAAAACTTCTGTTTGCCCAGGGGGCTGAGTTTTATCAGTGCATGGCGTTTTGTTTGTAATTAGAAAACCAGAAGCCCTCAGGCATCTCAAAAAGAGGCATTGTTGTTCTGCAGACAGCCTGGGGCCCCTCCCGAGTGTTAGATGTGGCCAGTTGTGTGCCAGTGGTGACTGGCAGGTCTGTGTGTGCTGCAGGTTACTATGCTCGTGTGCACGGCGTCAGTCACCTGGTCAAGGCTTTCCTGGAGAAGACAGCATGCAACTGCCAGATTGTCAACCTTGGGGCTGGCATGGACACCCTCTTCTGGAGGCTGAAGGTAACCAGGGCAGCGGGGCTGGGGGCTCCTGAGGGGCTGCCTGGGCTCTGCAGCCTGGCTCTGTCCCCCAGGGCAGCACTGCAGGAGCTCTCACAGCCCCACCACAGCTGGGACCCCTCTGGAGCTCATCCAGGGCAGCCCCTGCGCAGGCAGGGTCACCTGGAGCAGGTGACACAGGACTGGATTGGGATGGCTCCTGGGGGAGGCTCCACACCCTCCCTGGGCAGCTGTTCCAGGCTCTGCCGTGTCAGGGCTCGGCTCTTTCCCCTCTCATGGAAAGAGGTTCTTCCTCCTGTCAGGTGGAACCTGCTGTGTTTTAGTTCCTGGCCATTGCTCCTCATCCTGTCACTGAACAGAGTCTGGCACCATCCTCTGACACCCCTGGGAGGGATTTGTATGGATTGATGGATCCCCTCGCAGCCTTCCCTTCTCCAGACTGGCCAGGCCCAGCTCCTGCAGTCTCTCCTCATCACAGAGATGCTCCAGAGCCCAAATCATCTCTGTGGCTTCTGCTGGACCCTCTCCAGCAGCTCCTTGTCTTTCTTGGGGGTCAGGACTGGACCCTGCAGCTCTCCAGGGACGAGTGAATAGAATAAATTGTATTTATATTCTTGTAAATCCCCTGCCAGGAGCACTCCCTGACCTGCTGCCATGCTTTCTCCACATCCCCTGGGACCCCAGCTGTGAGTTTATTTATGTAAATCATGGAATCACAGAGTGGTTTGGGTTGGAAGTGATCTGGAAAATCATCCAGTGCCAGCCCTGCCATGGCAGGGACACCTGCCACTGTCCCAGGCTGCTCCCAGCCCTGTCCAGCCTGGCCTTGGGCACTGCCAGGGATCCAGGGGCAGCCACAGCTGCTCTGGGCAGCCTGTTCCTTATATAGCACTGTTTGTGTGTGTGTGATTCATGGAAATTCAGTTACTCAGATGTTGTTTGATGGTATCATTCTGGGTGAACACACATCTAAGTGAATTGTCTTCTCGTTAGCATTTACATGGGTAAATTTGGGTCCTGGAGGGAAGCCTGAGGAGCATTTTGCTTGGTCACAGTTTATTGTATTCCATCAGTGGAAGAGAGACAATTCTGATTTATTTTTTTTTTCCTGAGATGTGAAGCTTTTCCCTTACCTGCATTCCTATAAAAGCTCTGCCAATATACTGTTTTGGTAACAGTGATTTAAGAGCTGAAGTGGGGCCTGTAATTCCAGTTGTTTGTCCTTGCAGAGAGCAGGTGTGGTGTAATGAGTGTGCAGAGCTGGGGCAGTTCCTGGAGTGGTGGGTGCTGCTTTCACCTCAGAAACCCACAGCTTGACAGCCAGCACAAAGGGAGAAACCTGGCACAGTTCTCCAGCAGGCTGGAAGTCCTGCCAGCATGGAAGGAAGAGCTCTGCCCTCTGTGGTGTCCAGCAGGCTGGGTGCCTGTGCCCTGGCTGTGGGCTGGGGAGAGCTGCCCTGTGCTCACTGTCTGGGTGAGCCCCTGCAGAACCTTGCTGGCTCTGCCCCAGGAGGCTGTGCTGGAAGTGCTGCTCCGTGCTGTGGCAGTTTGCTGTGCTGTGCCCTCCCACAGCCCAGGACACAGCTGGAGGGTGTGTTTCACTGCCCTGTGCCTGGGGTTAGAGTCCTTCTCCTGGCAGGAGCCATCCCAGCCCCACCTGGTCACATTCCTGTCACCTGCCTGGGCAGGGCTTGCACTGGGTGAGCTCCACAGGTCCCTTCCCACCCCAGCTGTGCTGGTTCTGTGATCACATCCAGTGTAAATCATTTCTTTAGCTCTTAGAGGGCATTGTAATGTCTCTCAGCTGGATTTTAGAGGGTTTAAGCTGTGGGACACTGGTTCAGCACTGTTACAAAGGGCAGTGTAAGCCAAACCAGAACTGTTCAGGATTTGAGGTTCTGTCTTGTCCTGTGCATGTGAAACTCAAGTGTCCCTAATTCTAGTGTCTTCCTGCAATTCCCAGGATGAAAATCTCCTCCCTAAGAAATATTTTGAAGTGGATTTTCCAATGATCGTTGCAAGAAAAATACATAATATCAAGTAAGTGTGAGGCCTGTGTTCAGCTGTGGAGACTGGCTGCCAGTCTGGGCCATTATTGCATCTCTGCTGAGAAACTCTTTGTGTTCTGGGCTGGCAGGGTGGGCAGGGCTGGCACAGGGTGCCAGAGCAGCTGGGGCTGCCCCTGGATCCCTGGCAGTGCCCAGGCCAGGCTGGACAGGGCTTGGGGCACCCTGGGGCTGTGGAGGTGTCCCTGCCATGGCAGGGGGGCACTGGGTGGGCTCTGAGCTCCTTTCCCAAGCCATTCCAGGACTGGAGGTAGAATAAAGGCTCATGGTGCAGGCAGGCTCTGCAGCACTGCCCCAGGCTGCAGAGGGGGTGAGAGGCTTTGGGGAGCCAAGCAGAGCTTGCTGTGTGGCAGGGGCAGTGTCCTGGCACTTGGAGGTGATGAAACCTTCTCTTTCTGTTGAGGACAGCACTGAATTCCCAGATGTGCCTGCTTAGCTGGAGGCAGGCAGCTGCTGCTGCTTGGGAATGTCCTGTTGGAATGAACCATCAGGGTTGTTGAGGACACCTTTTAATTTGCCTGGATTTCTCTTGAAATGTTCTCTCAGAATTGCAGAAATTGTGTATAAAAGTCAGCTCCAGCTCCACCAGACTTGCAAAGGTTTTCCTTTCCAGCAGAGGGCAGAGATATTCCCTCAGCTGCCTTTGGCACACACACAGACACACACACACATATATATATATATGTTAAGAAAAAAGCTGTAAGCACACTGTTCAACAGGCTGAACTGCTCTGAGATGCTTCTTCCTTCTTCCCACAGATCAAAACCTCCCCTGTCAAAACCAATTATGGAATCCCATTCAGGGGACTCTCTTCTAATAGGTGAGTCATCTTCAAACTCAGTCAGTGATGTACTGCAGCACTTTTAAAACTTTTCTGATCATTTTGTTCTGCTATGTGGGCAGGCTTTTAATGTTTGAAATGCTGTTTGGACAGAGAATTGGGAGGGAAAAGAGGCTTTTTTCTTCTCTTACAGACTCCTGCCCATTTGTTCCATGTCATGTTAGAAATGTCTTCTCTTTAAGTGGTTTTATTCTGGCAGAAAGTTGTTGGGTTTTTTCTTTTTCTCTCATATGTAGCTCCTTTTCTGTCACAGGAAAGAAAAAAAGTGCTACAGAGAGGCATGGATACTGGATTAAAATATCTATTGAGTGTTTATCTGCTTTCTGTCTCATTAAGAGCACAAATCTTTACATTTAGCAGAGTTTTCACAGCAGAAACACAGCCTGCACAGTCCAGGCTCCTGAGCCAGGGCTGTTTGTTACATTTCAGTATTAAAGGATAATAACTTCAGGTGTGATGTGGCTGTGCTCTGTTGTTTCTGCCCTCGTTAGGGAACAGCAGGTTGTGTGCTCCCATCCCTGGCAGTGCCCAGGCCAGGCTGGACAGGGCTGGGAGCAGCCTGGGACAGGGGAAGGTGTCCCTGCCATGGCAGGGGTGGCACTGGATGATCTCTAGGGTCCCTCCCAGCCCAAATCATCCTATAATTGTGTATTTGTGTCAGGACTGCACTTGAAAACCTTTTTACCTGTGGAAAATTCCCTGGGCTCCGTTGAGTTCATGTTCTCAGTGCAGGTGCTGAGCTGCAGCAGCTGCCTTGCACAGTTCAGGGGGCAGCAGTCCTGCATCCCCCAGAGTGCTCTGTGTGAGCAGTGGGACCTGGCACAGCCTGCTGTTCCCTGCTGTCACCACGGGGCCCTTCCCTGGCACAGTTCCAGCCCAGCTTTGGGCACATGCTGCAGATTTTACTGCTGCACGTTATTGCTCTTCCCAGCCCTGCAGATGTCCTTCCTAGGGCAGAGCTCTCCCCTGGCCCCTCAGGCCTCCAGAGATGAAGGCCCAGAGTCCAGCTCAGAAAGGGCTCCTGGGGACCCCTGGCTTGCAGGCTGGCCCTGCTGGGGCACATCTGGCCCCAGGGAGAGCTCTGCACCTGCACTGCCCAGAGGCAGCCCTGGCAGTGTCCCTTTGTGTCCCTGAGGAGCTGCAGGCACATCTGGAGCAGCAGAACCCCTGCAGAGCTCTCAGCCTGCCCTGCTGTGACCTGGGCTGTTAGTGGCCACTTCCCCTGCCCTGGGCTGCACTGCTGGGACTGGTTTCTCTGGAGCTGCTCCCCTCTCAGGCTGCGTGTCACAGCTCAGTCACAGCCTGCTGCCAGGCTGGGGGAGGCTCTGCACCGAGGTTTTGGGGTGCAGCAGTGCCCAGGAGGTGTGGAAGGGCTGTGGGACTCCAGTTTGAGCTGAGCCCAGCCACAGGCCAGGCCCCGTGAGAGCCCTGAGAGCTCTGGTTTAAGGATCAGTTAAGGGAGCTGCTTCCTGGGGAAGGGCCAGCAGGAGAGGTGCTGGAATAAATGGATAAATCAAAGAGATGAGCTGAGAGCTCTTACAGGTCTAAAGGGACTTGACAAGGAATTTACTCAGCCTCTGGTTGGGCTGTGCCCTCTCATTTCAAACTCTTCAGCTGGAGGTTGTGGCTGTGCCTCAGATGGCTCCAGGGAAATCCAGGGAGCCCCAAGGCAGCAGGACTGATGTCTCTGCTGGGCATGTCATGGGAGCTGTGACAGCCTTGTGGAACACAGGAATCACGGGATGTGTTGGGAAGGAGTCCTGTGGCCTTTGAAGGGTGAGCTGTGCTTCCAGCTCTGCTGGAGCTCCCTAAACCAACATAGCTGTTGGAAAAGGACATCAGCACAGTGCTTGCTTTTCAAGAACGTGTTTTGACTGTGTCCCATGGCAAAGTGTGCCAGAGAAATGGCACAGTGGTTGTGGGGAAGGAATGGCTCTCATATGGATGAGGAGCTGGGATGGAGGGCGAGCATATGTTGTTCATTTTTGTTATGGAGGAGATGGAGATCTGTGCTTGAGGGTATGTTGTTGTTCAACACTAAGAAAAAATTGGGAAAATAGTGATTAGTAAGTGGCAGCTTGTTGGCAAATCCAAACTCTGAAGAGTGGTAAAGAACTGTAGAAGTATCTTGTGAAATTAGTGACTTGATGATGATTTCAATGTGGATTAATAGAAAGTGATGCACATGGGGGGGAAACAGTTTGTGCCTCACATGTAAATGATTATTGCTGCCTTCCTGCAGGATCTGGGTATTAGAATAAATAGATAGATGAAAGCATGAGCTCAGTAATGGTCCAGAAATACAAAGCAGTTTTAAGTACTTTTGGAAAAAGCTAGAAAACAACTTGGGTGCCAGTGTTAGTAGATGTTTCCTGTCTTTGACTTTTCCCTTTGGAGCTGCTGTTGGCCTCTGGAAGGCTGGGTGTCATCCTGGGGAGGCCTCTGGAGTGTCCTGGTACAGGTGTTAGAGCCTGCAGTGTTCTGGGGTCACCCCCTGGCACAGGAGCAGCAAAGGTTGCTCATTCCTGTGGGGATGTGGGCTGGGATTTTGGAATCCTGTCCTTCCCTGTGCCTGCCTGCCCACATCAGGCACACTCCTGCCTCTGGTGCACCAGGAATGTTTAGGTGTTTGGAATTTTGGCTGAGTTGTGCTGATATGGAGGGACATCCAGGTCCTCTCTCTGCTGCTCTGCTCACCCTGCTGTTGTCACACCGTGCCTGTTCATTGTGTGCCTCTCAGCCTTCTGCCCTGGCCAGCTTGGTTCTTTCAGCTTCCTCCATCCCCAGAGCTTCTTGTGGCCCAGTGTGGGTGTCAGGGGACTTGCAGGGCTGGCCCTGGGCCTCCAGGACAGGCTGGGAGCGTGCGGTGCTGCTGGGCTGGTGGGGTGAAGCTGGGCTGGGGCAGAGCAGCGTGCAGGGCAGGCTGCAGGGGCTGCTGCTTTCAGAAGCTGCACACATACCTGAGCATGAAAATCCTGATGAAATCACTTGCAGTCAATGGTATCCTGCATGCTGGCTCTTGGAACAGCTCCAGGAAATTGTTGCATTAATGTGAGAAGAGAGCAAGAGAAGAAAGCTGAGCTCTTGAGGCAGAGGCAGAGCTTGGTGTGCCTGGAGGCTGCAGTGCTGCCCCAGCAGCTGGGTTAGGGCAGCAGGAGGGCCTGGGGCCTCCCTCCAGCACAGCAGCAGTTCTGACACAGCTGGGAAGAAAAGATTCTATGTGCTGAGGTCAAAAGGCAACTACAAGCAGCTCCTGCTAATATTCAGTTACTACAAGCTTGTCTTGTTCTATGCCTGTGGGATCTGAACCACTTGTGTTGTTGCCTGTGGGCCAGAGTCAGGGAAAATAACCACAGGTGTGTGCCCAGGGCAGAGCATTCTCTACTGGATATCCCTGGAGAGCTGAACCTGTGCCAGGGCTGGGGTAGGTGGGGCGGGGGCTCATCTTTCCCCCATTCTCCATTCCCTCCCTTGTATTTCTGCAATTAAATCTGAGCTTGGTGTTTCTCACACCTTCATTTCAGCCATGTTCAGAGAGAATCGTTGTACATGAGTGTGAGCATCACACAGATCCCCAGGGCAGCTCTAGGGGAGAGCACCAACCAACAGCCTCACTAAAAACCAGCACGAGCTGCTGTGCCTGCTAGGAATTAGTGTCTGGAACATGGAATTTGCAGTGCCTGAAGCCACCAAGTGTCACTGGCTGTGGGCAGCTGGCCTGAGTCACAGCCCTGCAGTGAGAGTGAGCAGAGGGCTGTGAACATGCACCCAGAATCAATTCAGGTAAAACAAGCTCCTGTTCCTCACAAGAAATCAATGGGCACCACGTGACTGTGCTGCCAAGCTGGACCTCGGTTTTGCTTTTCCAGCTGCCCTGTGGATGGCAGGAATTGTAAAATCCATTTGCAGCAGGGCTGCTCACCTTGGGCAGCAGATTGCTCACTCTGTACTGCCCAGAGCATCCTGAGTGCTCAGGGACCCTCAGGGAGCACCCCAGTCCAGCCCCTCCCTGCACAGCACAGCCCCAAGAGCCTCCAGCTCTGCAGGAGTTGGTGCCAGGCCCTGTCCCAGCAGTTTTTGGGATGTTTGTGGGTGGATGTTGTCTCCAGGCTGGGGACAGGGGCACTCCCAGCTGCCCCTGCCCTGCTCTCAGTGTGTGTTTGCTCCCTAAGGGGAGGTGCTGGGGCAGTTGAAGCTTGCCTAGTTCAGTATGATCAGACTGAAAAGGGGGAAATTCAGTGACATACTGAGGAGAGATCCTTCCCTGGCAGGGTGGGCAGGCCCTGGCACAGGTGCCCAGAGCAGCTGTGGCTGCCCCTGGATCCCTGGCAGTGCCCAAGGCCAGGCTGGAGCAGCCTGGGACAGTGGGAGGTGTCCCTGCCCATGGCAGGGTGGCACTGGATGGGCTCTGTGGTCCCTTCCACCCCAAACCAATTCAGGGTTTTGTGATAAAAATGCTCCAGTCAGTGAGGTGTGAGCAAAGCACGCTTACTTCCACCTTGGAGTGTTTGTGCTCCTTCTCTCCTGATCACTTAAAAAGTTTTGTGGTTTATTTCTGGCTTTTATTTCTGTTCTTTGTGGATGTATTTGTGTGACCCAGCCTCCGAGGCTGGACAGGGAGCTGGCATTAATTCCCTACTAATTGTGGTGGCTGACGCTCGCTGTGCCGTATCCAGGGACAGAAACCAATCCCTATTTAAACACTTCCCTGTGTGTGGTGGGGTTTTTGGGTGGCTTTTTTTGATGCCATTATCATGGCCTTGATGTAATCACTTAAATAGAAGGGTGTGGGAAGTAGTAAAGCTATTACAGAACATGCACATGGAAAAAGCCTTGACTCAAAATGTTGAATCATTCAACATGCTGCACAACTTTTTTTTTTCTCTCTTTTCTTCCCTTGTAACTCTCTTTCTGAACTGTTTCTGATTCCTGGATCTGCTCCCAAGTGTTGCTGGAATGGCAGCTATTTTCCTTGCTAGTGGCACTTCCAGGGAGTTGAAAAGCAAGCAGAGGTGCATCCTCTGGGGTGTTTGGTCACTGCTGGTCATGGCTGGGCAAACCCACACTTGGCCCCAGTTGTTTTGCTCCCCTCTCCTGAAATGGAAGCCCCTTTCATGCTGCCCCTTCAGCCAGCTCTCTGCTCACTCAGCCTGTGCCAGGGCAGGCTCAGGCTGGACATCAGGAGGAATTTCTCCATGGACAGGGTGGCCAGGCACTGGAAGGGGCTGCCCAGGGAGCTTTGAGTCCCCTCCAGAGCCATCCCAGTATTCTGCAGGACGTTGGCTCTGCCTGGGTGTCATGGAGCACTTGGGAGGTGCCTCCTGTGGGCACTGGGCTCCTCTGGGTGCCCTCATTGCTGCTGGGTGTCAGAGTCACTGATGGCCAGAGGCTCTGCTGCCTGCTCCCAGCTGGGCCAGGGTGGCAGGGCCTCCTTGGACTCTGCATTTGTCCCTCCTTCGTGCTGGGGAGCATCCACAGGCTCCTGGTGTATCCCAGGGGAATATCAGCAAAATCAGAATACCTTCTGTCATTTGACTCTTTCTTAAATAGCACCACTAAATCATACCAAAAGGCTAAATGATACCTTCTTTTTGCCCCAAGTCTCTGGCTGCTCCCCATATTTATTATATAACTACATATGCAGTTAATTTGTATAGCTGTATCTGTTAATATTTGAAATATTGTCACCTAGCTTAGTTTTTCCGAAATTGATGTACTTTTATCTAGTTCCTATGTGCATACATTGGGCCATCTAAGAAGACTCCCCAAACAAAACAAAAACCCAGCCTTTAATCTTGCCATTTTCCTTCTCTCTGCATTGCTGGAAACCATGGTAACAGCTGGGCTAACCTCTCTGCATGGCTGCAGAGGGAGAGGAGCTCAGTGCAGGGTCTGGTGGTGATGGAGCACTGCAAAACACAGCCAGGAGGGGAATTCAGGTTCAAAAAGAAGAGTTTGCTGCTCACAGCTGGGTGTAACAGAGCAGACTGGGCTCCAGCCCTGTGCTCCCCTGCAGGGGTTGTGGTTCCTAACTGCACCTCCCTCTCAGCTGTCCCTCCACCTGTGCTTGCAGATTCCCACAGCCTGGACTCCAGCCGCTACTCCATCGTGGGAGCAGACCTCCGCTCCTCCCCAGATCTGGAGGACAAGCTGAAGAAGCATGGCTTGGATACACAGTGAGATCACAGGGCTTTAGTTGGCTTCTTGTGGGGGTTTTTTTTTGGTTGTTTTTTTTTTTTTTTTTTTTTTGGGGGGGCCCATTGGCTTTTTGTGGGTTTTTTTTTTGGTTTTTTTTTTCAGTGGGGGCTCGGGGATGCCCTGGGCCAGGCTGGGCAGGGCTTGGAGCTGGGACAGTGGGAGCTGTCCCTGCCGGGGCAGGGGTTGCACTGGCTGGGCTCTGTGATCCCTCCAAACCCAAACCATCCCAGGATTCTGAATTTCTGAGTTTTAGCTCTGTAATCCTTTTCTGTGGCCTCCTCTCATACCCCTGTTGTTTCCTAAACATTGTGGTGGGGCTGCAGTGGAGTCCTTGGGATGTGAATGCCAAAGCTCCCCTGGGGTTCTCTTGTTCAACACGAGGCTTTGGGGGGGCAGGAGTTGAGTTCTGAGTGGATGATGGACAGACCTTTCAAATGGAAGCAATATAAATAGCAGCGATCTGGCTGGGTGGGAGAGAGCATATGGGGAAGCAGAATGCATCAAATTGCCATTTAATTCTTTACACTTCCATCCTCTGAAATGTTGCCTTGCTTGCCTACATTGCTGCTCCTTGTGGAATTTCTCCTGCTTCTAGTGACTTTTTTTCCCCTTTCATTCCAGCAATTAAAAGCAAACTCAATAATTGTGAAGAAAATCACTTGTGTAGATGTCTATTTTTGTTGTTTTGTGGATGGAGGGGGAAGAGGCAACGTGCAAACTATAGATTACATTTTGTTAGATAATAATATGTGAAGATTGTTTTACAGATACTGAACAAATTTGTCTAATTAAAATTCTTCCTAGAACTTTTTTGAAGAGAAAACTTTTTTTTTTCTATTTGTAATTAATGCCTGAATTCACTGATCTCCACAAGACTGTGAGCTGTGTGTACAGGGCACAATGGTCCTGCAAAGGGAATTTTAACACACCCCAGTTCCTGCTGTAGAGAGGACTCACAGAATGCACAAGGTTCTGTGCTCAGGGCTGGCTTTTGGGGAGATTGATCCCTGAAATCTCTGGTTCACAACCACAGGAGTCTCTGTGGTTCATTAATTCACAGCTGCCAGAAAGCCCAGTTTGAGTCAATGTGATGGAGAGATTTCATTCAGTCTTCAGTGTCTAGTTCATAAAAGATGGAGCTCTTTCAGGAAATTGTGCAGACATGAAGTGACTTGCTTGCTCACAGTCCTTAGCAGATTTTTCTTGTTCTTGTGCTGGAAATCATGTTCTGCTCTGGTTCTGTTTTACAGTTTGCCAACGCTGCTGGTGGCCGAGTGTGTGCTGGTTTACATGACCCCCCAGCAGTCTGCAAACCTGCTCAAGTGGGCAGCAAGCACCTTCCCCGTGGCCATGGTTATCAATTATGAGCAGGTAAAACCCAAGGGGCATTTTTAGACCTGCATTGTTGTCATTCAAATTGCTCTCGTAGGTGGGAGTTGCTGAGGAATGAGAGTGGGCCATGTCCTTTTGTAGGAACAGCAGTTTCTGCTGAATTTCTGGAGTAATGTGTTTTAACTTGCAGCTTGCTTAGCTCATTGTAGAGAAAATACAGCTATTCTGAAAGACAATTTCTGAACTATGTTGAAGTAAAATAATTGAGACTTAATCCATACGTGGAGAAAAAACCATAGAATATTGATTTGGCTAAAGCAGAGCAGAAAGAAACGGTGCTGAGTGCTGGCTCTGGCTGTATCACATTACATAATTACCTCTGTGTTCTCTGGCAAAGTGGAGCAGAAATCACATCAGCACGAACTCTGTTTCTCCCTGTGCAAGTGAAGCACTGCCTCGGGGGAGCTGGGTGGCTGCAGGATTTATGACAGGCTCTCCCAAGCTGTAAATGGCTGCTGGGGAGCCGAGCAGGGTGCTGGGAGCTGAGGCAGCTGTGCTGCCAGCCCCGTGTCCCTGCGGGCAGTGCCACTGTCCCCCTGGCACTGGGCTCTCCTGGGCAGTGAGAGCTGCTGTCAGCTGTGCCACTCACGGGCACCCCGTGTGACCCAGGCAGTGCCAGGGCTCAGGCAGGCTCTGCTGTGCTGGGAAGGGACCGTTTCTGTCCCCTTGTGCCCCCCAGGTGAACATGAGGGACCGCTTTGGGCAGATCATGATCGAGAACCTGCAGCGCCGGCACTGCAACCTGGCTGGGGTGGAGCTCTGCAGCTCCCTGGACTCCCAGGTAGGGGCACAGGGCTGCTCTGAGCTTTGCTGACCTGCCTGTGAGTTCTCAGTATGCCCTGGGGGCTCAGCAGGGCCAGGGCAGGGTGGGGCAAGCACTGAGCCCTTTGCTGGCCACTGGGGTCGGGGCATGCTTTGGTTTGGCAGGGACTGTGGAGCCCACCCAGTGCCACCCTGCCATGGCAGGGACACTTCCACTGGCCCAGGGGGCTCCAAGCCCTGTCCATCCTGGTCTGGGCACTGCCAGGGATCCAGGGGCAGCCCCAGCTGCTCTGGGCACCTGTGCCAGAGCCTCACACCCTCCCAGGGAACAGTTCCCAGTCTCCCACCCCTCCCTGCCCTCTGGCAGTGGGAGCCATTCCCTGTGTCCCTTGTAATCAGTCTCTCTCCATGTTTCTTGTTGGCTCCTTCAGGTCCTGGCAGGCCACAGTTAGGTCAGGCCAGAGCTTCTCTCTGCTGCTGAATGTCAGTGGCTGCACAAACCTGGGCAGAGCAGCCCTGCCTGGCCCTGCAGAGATCAGCAGCACACACTTAGGGAAGAGTTTGGGAGCCCTTCAGAGGACAGGTCAAGCACTGCCCAGTGAGATCCTTCGGGGCAGAGCTGTGCTCTGGTGCTTCCCCTGGGGGCCTGTGAAAGCTGTGCTTTGCTCTCCAGAGGGAAAGGCTGCTGCAGAGTGGCTGGGAGAACGCCCGTGCCGTGGATATGATGAAGGTGTACAGCTTCCTGCCACAGGCTGACGTCAAAAGGTACCCCCCCTGCACCCCAGAGCCATCCTCACGTGCCATTTCCAAGGTCCTTGCCACGCGTGGGCTCCCCTGGTGGAGCAGAGCAGGCTGCCCAGGGGACACAGCACTCCTGAGGCTCTGCAGAGCCTCCAGGGCAATGCCTGGGCTGATGGTGCAGAGCGTGAACTGCCAGGAGCAGGCTGGGAGCAGCGATGGCTGCTTTGGGTGTGACAGAAGGCATCTCCTGACAGAAATTTGCAGCTGGGAGATGCCACAGAAATGCTGTGCTGAGTTTTTGCAGTCCCCAGAATGTTCCTTGTGAAGATTTTGGCTGGGGTTAAACCACGAGATGTTGAAATCATGAGGGGGAGACTGCTGGGTCTGCAGAACTCAGAGCAGGGACTAAAGGCTGTTAAACACTCACTACCCTGCCTGGATTTTGTTAATGTTCCTGCATTAAATGCTAAACAGTGGGAAATTTTGAGGAGTAACTTCTTAGGGATATAATGTGAAATGTGAACTGCTGTGAGTCATTCATAGGGGGAATTAGCTGAGCAAGTTACCTTGGTCAAAATCTTCACCTATGGGGGTTTCTCAGAGCCTGGAACTGAACAGGTGAGAGTGGAAATCAGAGGTGGTTTAAATAGGAACAGGGATGTGTGGTGGGACCATATGGCACTGGTGGAGACACAGAGCTCGTGCTTTCTCTGCAGCATTTTTGGCTACCTCGGATCTGTTCAGCTCCTTGCACTTGTTCCACATGCCAGGAAATAGGGTTATGTAAACTCTGTCCTCCAGAATCTCTGAGGCAAATGCTTTTTCTTCAGAAAAGTCTTTCCCAGAGTGCTCCTCTGCAGCACTTCACACCTGGCAGTGCATTGAGGAACTTCTGCCCCTTGGAGCCTCAGCAGCAGCCCTGGTATTTGTGAGGAGTTACACAGATGAGTCCTGGACAGGAATTCCAGGGATGAGGAGCTGGAAGCAGCCTGGGGGTCACTTGTTCCATGCATTGGCAGGGGTGGGACCAGTGGTGGCATCATGGACAATACCTGTAATTATTCCCTGGAGAGCTAATTGCCTTTCTGGCCATAGTTCTCACTCCCATGGAGTGAAAATTCAGTAAAAACTCTGCTGAGAATCCAGCTCAAATCCCGACCTTTATTTTATTCCTACAGAATAGAAGCCCTTGAATTCCTGGATGAAAAGGAACTGTTTGAGCAGCTCATGCAGCACTACTGCATCTGCTGGGCTTCCAAGGACAGCAGCAACCTGGGTAATGCTCTCCTGCCCCTGGGGGTGATCCTGCCCTGGAGATGTCCTGGGGAGGGCTGGGCTGGGCTGTATCCCCAGGGGTGCTCAGAGCCCCCTGTGCCAGGGCTCTGCTGCTCCTTTGGGGCTTTATGGCCTCCAAGTGGGAAGCCTGTCCAGTACAGGGGAGTTGGAATTTTTCCACCAGAAGATGCCGTATGGGTTCCTTTAAATAACTGCCTGCTTTATCCCATCAGTGCTAATTGAAAGGTTTACAAATCCATGCATGGGAAGTGCCATATGGGCACACGGTATATGAAGGCACAGTGTCCTGACAACACAAAAATAAATTTGTATTACTTATCCCAGCTTCTCTGCACTGTCCCCATTTGCAGCCATCTGACACTGAAGTTTTCCACACTGCTTTCTCCCTGGGGAAAAATATTCCCTCTGAAATGAACTCTTCTACCTGTTCCTTTTGTTCCTAAAATTCTGTCTCTCCTGGACTGGAATTTCTGTGAGAGAGAGACTTGATTTAGGCTTTCTGTAGCATTTGGATGTTGCTGCTGCTCAAGAGATGATAAAATGAGGGGAGCTGTTGCTTGGCTGAAGCATGGATGGCCACAGCCTGTATTTGTCCAGATTAGAAAGACAACTCTGTTGCAGTCAGTTTGTCTCTACTTCTGGCTGCAATTTCAGGGACTTCAGTCTTTCCAGAAAAACTCTGCCTGCCACTTAAATCATTTCCTCCCCTTCATCCTCTCTGCCCTTTCCCTGCTCCTGACTGAGTATCCAAGAGCAGATTTTATTTATTGACTGTTCCTCAGCAAATGGGAATAGATTTGGTCTCTGCAGCCTGGCTGGGCAGCACAGCCTCTGACAGAGCTGCTAAAAGGAGATCTTCAAATAAAAACTGGTAAAAGGAGCTCTTCAACACCCTGCTGCTGCTGCTGTGACAGAGCTGCTGCCTTGTGCTGGTGCTCCTGCATCTCCAGAGTTGTGAGCTGCAGACCCCCTTTCTACACTGCATTTCTTCAGGCTGAGCAGTGGTGACTGTAACAGCCTGGTTTGGAGGAGCTGGGGCCCAAAGGCTCAGGTGTTCACAGCAGCCCCAGTCTGGGGCTCTCAGCTCTGCTCTGTGCTGTGATTAGTGAAAATACAGCTCAGGGTGTGAGGTTGGGGTGTCTCAGCAGTTACAGGAGACACTGATCTCAGGGGTGATAATCAAGTGTCCAGTGGACATGGCCTGGGTGTGCCTTAGTCTGAAGCAGGGCTTTTTTATCCTGAGTGAATTTACTGCCCTCATGAATGGCACCTTCCCCTGCTTTATCTTCCTGGTTTCATGGGCAGACCCTGAGGTTCCTGAACATTGCCATGAATAATTCCAGCGCCTCTGCAAATTGACTTCATTAAATTAATTGCTGCATCACAATCAAAAAAGGGTTTAAAAGTACAGCCCAACCTGTTTCCTGCTTTCCTCACACCAAATCCTTCATGTTTAAGTTTAAAAATACGAAATAACTCTGAAAGCATCTCCCCTGCTGTATGTAAGGACCCTGGTGCAGCGAGGGTAAGAACAAACCCTCCTTCCTTGCCCCAAATCCCTCTTTGTCTTCCCACAGGTCTGGCAGACATCGACTTCTGAGGGCTGCAGGGAGGGAGCCCTGGGGAGCCCAGGGCTGGGGCCAGGACGTGGAGAGGATGGGATTTGCACGTGGCAGCCCCAGCTGGGGCTGGGACACTCGTGGTGCTGCTGCTGGGGACGGGCCTGCTGCCCCTGGGGGATCCAGGGAGCAATTTCTGTGAGCAGGACTGGGCCCAGCTGTTCAACGGTGGGCTCGCACAAGGTGTCAGTAACTCCTGTTCAAAGCTTGCCTTCCTTGGCCTAGCACTGCAAGGCAGGTGTGTTTGGGTTCCTTGATTTCCCTCTCGTGTGTTTTTGTGGCTGTGTAACCCGTGTTTGTGGCAGGCAGCTGGGGGTGCCTGGCAGGAGGGGGTTTGTGCATTTCTGTTCTGTTCAGGTCTCATGTTGGTGCAGTGTCACCGTGCTGGCTCCTGCAGGCTTCACTGCCCCGCAGGGCTCTCACTGCTGGGAGCTCCTGGAGGGGAGGCTGCAGAGGAGGGCCCTGACTGTTCAGTGATGTACAGGAAACTGGAAAATAGACCTGATTTAACTGGGAAGGGCTTGGCTTGAGGTTTCAGCACTGGCATGCTGAAGAAGGAAATTTATCTCAATTTGCACTGCTTCTGGTAGTATCTTTACACCAGTTCCTCCTCTCTTTCCCCTTAAAAGAAGCAAAACAAAATCCCAACAGCAATGAAAGCCCTTGTCCTGTTGTTTGAAATTGAATCTTGCAACCTTCCTATGAGGAAAACCAATAAATGTTTAGTATTTGTAATTTGTCTCTGTCTTCCTTGCTAGAAATGACTGCTTTCTATCTGGTTTAGTGACATTTTCCTCTCACCCAATGCCTCACCAGGAGTATTTTTTAAGCAGTTGCTGGCAGTGTCCCAGGGCTTGGAGCAGCCTGGGGCAGGGGAAGGTGTCCCTGCCATGGCAGGGGTGGCACTGGGTGGGCTCTGAGGTCCCTCCAGCCCTTTCTGGGATCCTGTGGGATCCTTCAGGGATTAAAAATGAGCCCAATCCCCCACCCAGCAGTGCCCCACAGCCCCTCTGCCCTGCAGGGCCGTCCTGAGCAGTCCCCAATGCCCAGAGGCACCACCCTGTCCTGCTTTCTTGGGAATTCAGTGAGGAATTCCGAGTTGCATGAAAGCCCATCTGCTATCAGTTGAATTTTGGCCAGACCCCCTCTGGCCCCGTGTTCCCTGAGCCCCCTGCAGCATCTCCCTGAGTGGGAGCCAAGCTGGAGTTGTACCTGCCCTGGAACATCCCAATTGTTCCTTTGGAGCTGCTTCCCCTGGGAACACCCCCTGAGCTGCTGCAGTTTTCCTCTCAGAGGCTTGGAGCACAGCTCACTGCAGGGCTGTCCTGGGCTCCATCAGTCTTTTGTGTCTTTTTGTCATGATTTCATCCCTTTGTGTTTGGGAATAATGGCTCAGCTAGCGTGAGGCAGATCCTGGTGCTCATCAGTGCTATTTTGGGTGCCTGTGTGCTCTGCAGCCCTGGAGCATCCCTGCTGCCCTGGGAGGGGAGGCAGCACGGTGCCCCTGCCCTGCTGCAGCCTGCCTTCCCCTCCCAGCTCCTCAGCATCCAGCTGGGAGAGGGGAATCTGCTGCCAAGGCTCTGCCAGCGTCTGCTGGGTGCTGCCAGCAGTGCTGGGAAATTGGGTCACCTTGTGCTCCAGGGTTCCAGCAGCACTGAAGGAACCCGGTCCCGGGGAGCTGGGGGAGGACAGGGTGGGCAGCCCGGGCTCAGGGTTGTGCTGGCTGGAACAGATCAATAAACCCTTCACCCCTCTGGGGAATGTTTGGGTGTGCAGGGTGCTGCTGGCTCAGGAAGCTTTTGCAGGCAGGAGAGGCTCCAGCTCTGCCCTGTGCTGCTGCTGCCGGGGATGTGTGACCCTGCAGGTGCCCTGCCTCTCTGCCTCTCCCTCCTGCTCCAGCCTGGCCTTCCTCCTGGGGGATTGCTACTGATGGGGCAACGAAATTCATCTCTGGGGGTCACAGAATGCTTCAGACTGGAAGGAGCCTTTAAAGCCCCTCCAGGGCCACCCCTGCCATGGCAGGGACACCTCCCACTGCCCCAGGCTGCTCCAAGCTCTGTTCTGGGGCACTGCCAGGGATCCAGGGGCAGCCACAGCTGCTCTGCCACCTGTGCCAGGGCTGCCCACCCTGGCAGGGCAGGATTGTGCCCAGAGAGGCTGGAGAGGAGCCGTGCCCAGGATGGGGGTGGAAGGGAAGCTTTGCTCAGCAGGCACTGGGTCCTGTGTGCCTGCAAAGTCAGGCAGTGCTCCCTGCCCGGGAGCTGCCTGCCCCTGCCTGCCCCTCCAGGAGCCAGGGGCTGCTCCTGCCTGCCCACACTCACTGCTGCCGTGGCTCCCTGCTCCTGGTGTGGCCCTGCCTGCACCTGTGTCCATCCCCGTTCCATCCCTGAGCCCTGCCTGCTCGCTCTTCACTCGTGGGTACAAGCAGCTGCCTTCCAGGAAATGAAATTATTTACCTTCAACTATTTCATTTTAGGAGCTGAAGGAAAAGCAGTGGTTGGCTCAGTGCATGGTATTTCAGCCTCTCTGCAGTGACCAGCTCTCCATTCCGAGTTTACAGTTTTTCAGGTGCCTGGGCTGCTGGGGCACAGGAGAGCGTGGTTATTGAGGATGGAAATGTGGGTGGGCGGGCAGGAAGTCCAGCTCCCCAGCCCGAGTTTACACAGTTTTTCAGGTGCCTGGGCTGCTGGGGCACAGGAGAGCGTGGTTATTGAGGATGGAAATGTGGGTGGGCTGGCAGGACAGCCAGGGGCCAGGTCATTGCAGGGAAGATGTGCAGGGGTGTGGGGGACCAGGAGCATCCACCCCTTCTGTGGGATCTCAGTGGATTTTAATGCTAAGCACCAGACTTAAGCACATGAAACAGCAGAATGAAGGTCTGGGTGGCTTCGTCCTGCTCAGGTGGTGATTTTCCCAGCTCAAACACCAGCCTGGGCTGCAGGACTGACAGATCCATCCCTGCTCTGCACCAGGCAACGCTCAGCCCGCCCGAGGGATCCCTGGAAATTTCCATCTGCTCTGAGACAGCGACGGGGAGGAAAACTCTTACACAAGTGGGCTCTGTAAGGGGCAGAGGTCACCTCACCTGTGCCACAGCTACGAGCTGCAAATCATTCTGCAAGTTCTCTTTCAGCCCCGTTGTGTAATGCCGGGACTCTCCGGCTCCGAGATAAACGTGGGAAGATAAGGCAGTGTCAGAGGAGCTGCTCTGCTTCTTTATGGCTCTGTGAAAGAGCTGATGCTGGATTTGCCGGGGTCCTTCCTTGCAGCACCAGAATATTTTGGAATAACCTTTTTATAGATGCCATCTGGAATTCTGGCCTTTCAGATGTACCAGCACCAATTCACGGAGAGCACTCGAAGCATTTCAAGAGGATGGAGTGACAGGAAAAAGGGGAATGAATTCAAGCTGATAGAAAGGAGGTTTAGATTAGATTTTGGGATGAGATTCTTCCCTGGGAGGGTGGGGAGGCCCTGGCACAGGTGGTTTCAGTGTCCCTTCCAGCCCAAAGCAGTCTGGGATTCTGGGACTGAGCATTGAGAGCACTCAGTGATGTTCTTTAGTTCTGCTTCAGTGCTTTTTGCAGTTTGGGTGGTTTGGGTTTAGAGCCCCAGAATGGTTGGGGTTGGAAGGGACACCGGAGATCATCCAACCCTCAAATCTGGTTTTCTGCACAGACCCTCGTCTGGGTGCTTTGGTGGCATGGGAAAGCCAAGGAAAGGGGGCAGATCTGCACGGTGAAACGAGGAGAGGAGTGAAACAGGGGGAGGATAAACCAGGGGTGTTCTGCTTTTCCTGGCCAGGTGGATGGGCGAGGGAAACGTTCTCTGTGATTCCTAAAAACCATTTTTGGAAGCCTTGGCTTGCTTGGTGCCACCACTTCCTGTACTAATTGACACAGTTGCTATTGTCACTTATCTAACAAATCGGTGCAAGCCCAAACAAGGACAAAAATAAGTGTCTGCTGATATGAACAGATTTATCTGTTCTCATCCCCACGCCTTTTCCCACGGGCAGAGTTCCCGTGTGTCTCTCTGAGCAAACCTTGGTGCTGAGGATTCCAGCTCCTGCTCAGAGCAGGGCTCTGGCCTTGGCGTGCTGCTGGCACCCCTGAACACCTGGCAGGTGCTGAGGCTGAAGCTCCAGTGAAGGGAAACCCTTCCCTCAGGGCTGAGCTTTTTTTCCCTCCAGTTTCAGGCCTGTGCTCAGCAAGAACTGAAGCCTCTGTTGCCTGAATGTGGAGTATTTCCTCTGCAGGCTCAGGCAAACATCCCCGCGCCCTCAGGAGTGGTAAATGTTTAAAAGCCAAGGACAGGGGTTAATCCTGGCGTTTGGGCTGTGACCTTGCCGTGCTCTGAAGCCACCACTGGGGTGGGAGACAGAGCACGGGCAGGGTGGCACCAGCCTGGGCATCTCCTGTGCCAGGAGCACCCAGCAGCACCCTGGCTCGGCCACCTGGCTGCTCCCTGGCCAGGGAGAGTCCTGGAGCTCCTGGGGCTCACCCATGCTGCTGGGGGCTCTGGGCTCTGGGATATGGGATCTGGAGTTTGGGGTCTGGGATATGGGTCTGGGATCTCAGGTTTGGGGTCTGGGGTCTGGGATATGGGGTCTGGGATCTCAGGTTTGGGGTCTTGGGTTTGGGGTCTGGGATCTGGGGTCTGGGATTTGGGATCTGAGATCTTGGGTTTGGGGTCTGGGATCTGGGGTCTGGGATTTGGGATCTGAGATCTAGGGTCTGGGGTCTGGGACAGCCCAGCTCCTGGCAGTGCCTGCCTGGCACCGTGGGAGCTGCTGCAAGGAAGGAGCAGCTGAAATCTGGGTACGTGTTACACTGATATGTGTTACATTGATTTCTCATGATAAGCACCCCAAAAATAAATGAAATCTGGATTCCTTCTGCCCAAGTTCAGTTTCTTGCCAAAGGAGCACCCGGCTGGTCGTGCTGGGAGCTGAGGTGCCAGATGGGTTCCATGACCTGCTGGAAGCTGGGGTGCCCTGTGGGATTGGGTCAGGTGTTTCCCTGCCCCCCAGGTCTGGGGGTTCCTGGGGGTCCAGGCAGACCCAGCTGCCACTCTCCACATCCCAGCTGTATCCACGAGCTGATGCCAAGACCTCTTGGCTGCAGGAAGCTCTTGAGAGGGGAAGAGGGTCGATGGAGGCTCATTCAGAGGTGCCTTTACTGGGATTCTCCTGCCTGACCCTTGTCTGTGGTGTGGCCACAGGGACAGGCCAGTGGAAATTTCCTTCCCATCCCCAGTGCCTTGTGACAACACCATAAACCACGGTGGCGTTCTTTACCCTGCTGACAGGAGAGAAGAGCCCTGGAAACCCCAGTCCTGGGGCAGCCACACAAACACGGGGCTGCACGAGGCTGCTCAAGCTCCCTGCAGGGCTGGGCTGCTCCCTGCCTGCATCCTGGGCACATTCCTGCTGCTCCCAGGAGCTGCCCTGGCACCACCCGGCCGTGCCCATCCCTGGGCAGGGTCACACTGACCCCTCTCAATCAGTGCCCCAAAGATCAGCCACATCTGGGCTCCTTCAGCCCCAGCTCAAAGCCCTCCCAGCGGGAGCCTTGCTGGTCCTGCTGGGAGCTGTGGGATGCAGGTGCCTGGGGGCCCCCTGCTCCCCCTGCCCTGGCTGGATCTGCTGTTCCAGGCAGTGATCCCGCTGGGATGAGGAGGATTTGGGCGGGGTTTAATCAGTGCTTGATCAGTGCCAGCTTTTGCAGTGGCTGGTGGATCCCTTGGCATCTTTCCCTCCTCTTTATTTGAGAGCAGTGCAAGAGGGACATGAACCCCAGCCCTGGAATCACGGGCAGGAGGTGGGCTGAGCTTTAGAGGAATTGTCACTGGTGGTCTCCACTCACAGGGTGGGCAGCCCTGGCACGGGGCGCCCAGAGCAGCTCTGGCTGCCCTGCATCCCTGGCAGTGCCCCGTGGATGGGGATGGTGGAAGGTGCCCTGCCCAGGGCAGGGGTGGCACAGGATGGTTCCCTTTCCAGAGCTCCCTTCCCACCTGGAGCAGTGTGGGGCTCTGGGCTGGCAGCACCAGCTCCTTCCCAGGCTGCTGCCCTTGGTGGCTCCTGCAGGACAGAGCCCCCAGGGCTGAGCACAGGTGCCACACTGCAGGTGAGGGGGCAGGAACCACATCCTGCCCCTTGGCAGGACCCCTCACACCGCCACCAACAGCAACAGAAATCCGAGGCAAAAATCCCAAGCCTTGAGCCAAGGCTTGGCAGTGATAACGAGCTTTGATATCCCTGGGGGCCGGCCCAGCAGTTTTATGACCCCTTTTTTTCCTTAGCAATGCAAATCCAATCTGTATTTAGAGCCTCCCGTGCAGAGCTGCCTCTCAGACACTCGGGGGGAGCCCGGAGCCTCCTGGGGTGCTCATCCCTGCTGGGAGCCCCGGGTGCTGCACAGCCAGCCTCTGCCTGCAGCCTCGCCAGCCGTGCCCAGCCGTGCCCAGCCGTGCCAGCCGTGCCCCAGCCGTGCCCAGCCGTGCCCAGCCTCGCCAGCCGTGCCCCAGCCGTGCCCCAGCCTCGCCAGCCGTGCCCAGCCGTGCCATCCAGGACAGGCTGGACATGGAGGCCAAGCCCTCGGCCCCGCGGCCGCGCTGCCTCGAGCGCCACGTGCAGCCCTGCGTGGCCGAGCTGCTGGGCACTGCCCTCTTCGTCTTCATCGGCTGCCTGGCCGTGCTGGAGGACGCGGGGGGCACGGGCCGGCTGCAGCCCGCCCTGGCACACGGGCTGGCCCTGGCCGTCACCGTGGCCGTGCTGGGGGACATCAGGTAAGGGACAGCGAGCGCGCCGGGGCCCTGCCAGGAGCGGGGAGGTGCCCCCACCTTCGGGCCCTTCCCTGCCCAAACCCTCTGCCCTCTGCACCCCTGCCTTGCCACGGAGCCCCGGTGGGCAGCGTGGCCCTTTGGGGGGTGGTGGCATCGCTGGTGGCATCACTGGTGGCACCTGTAACGCCGTGGGTTTGGGGCTGCTCACCTGGCTTTGGATTGCAGCGTTTCAATTTTTAGCCCCTTCTAATAAAAATGGTGAAGCTGGAACAGGAACGTTCTCCTCTGGGAGCCGGAGCTAGGAGATGTTTAAGGGCCCTTCCAGCCCAAACCATTCTGTGATTTTATGATTCTCTGTGAAGCTGAGATGATTCCTTTTACAAGGATGTCAGAGCAAAACATTTTGACCCAACTGTGCTTCTCCTCAGGGTATTTTCAGGCTAAAAAAAACGTGGTTTCAATTACTCAAAAGCAACATTTGGACAACTCTGCTCATTGAAAAGCTGTTGTGTGGAGCTGAGATATAGATTGATCCCCAAGGAAGATGCTGGAAGAGTCCCTGGGGGTTTCTTGCCTTCCCTGTGCCAGCCCCACAGGGGCTGGGGCTCTCCAGGCTGTCCTGGGGGGCTGGGCAGGATCAGGGCCAGCCTGGAGTCCAGAGCAATGGGGTGATAATTCATCAGTAGGGGGAGAACAGCCCAGGGTGGGGTTTGTGCAGGGGGCACTCCTGACCCACGGTGCCTGTGCCAGGTCCTGCTGCACCCCAACCCTGGCGTGGTGAAACCAGGGCAGCAGCACTGGGGGCTTCGTGGTGAGGGGCTGCAGGTTCCCACTGAATCCTGAAATGGTTGGGCTTAGAGAGGACCTGAAATCCCACCAAAGTCCACCCCTGCCATGGCAGGGACACCTTCCACTTGTCCCAGGCTGGCCGAAGCCCTATCCAAGCTGGCCTTGGGCACTGCCAGGGATCCAGGGAATCTGCTCTGGGCACCCTGTGCCAGGGCCTGGAAGGATTGCCCAGGGAAGGATTGAGCCCAGGGAAGGATTGAGCCCAGGGAAGGATTGCCCAGGGAAGGATTGAGCCCAGGGAAGGATTGAGCCCAGGGAAGGATTGAGCCTTGGGAAGGATTGAGCCCAGGGAAGGATTGAGCCCAGGGAAGGATTGAGCAGGGGGAAGCAGTGCAGCCGTGGAAGGATTGAGCCCAGGGAAGGATTGAGCCCAGGGAAGGATTGAGCCCAGGGAAGGATTGCCCAGGGAAGGATTGCCCAGGCAGCTGCAGAGGAGCCCTGCTCGGGGGGTTCCCCAGGCAGGCTGCTGCCCCGGGGGGGTTTGTGTGCAGCCAGGTCCCCCTGAGCCCAGGCTCCCCCCAGCCCAGAGCTGGCAGTGCAGCCCTGTCCAGCCCAGGCTCCCCGAGCAGCCCAGCTCCCTGCTCTCCTGGGGGCTCAGTCCCAGCTGAGCATCACATGTGCTTGTGGCTCCCAGACTCTCTGACTCATCACCAGCAATTATCAGGCTGATCAGTTATGAAACCTGTTCATTAACCTGTGTCTCATGGTAATCAGAATTAATTAGAGGGTCTCTGTGTCTGGCTTGCTTGTGCTTTTTGAGGTGAAGGATTTAGGTCTGGTGCTGAGGGCCAGCCAGGCTGCTCAGCCTGCAGCCCTGCTCTGGGGGAGCTGTGTCCTGCCAGGCTGGTGCCAGCCCCAGCGCTGCCTTCCTGCAGCTCTGCCAGGCCCCTGCTGCCCACAGCAGCCCTGGCAGAGCTGCAGCAGCTGCTGGGAGCACCTCAGTGACACATCCCCAGGTCCTGTCCCTCAGGATTGCCCAGGGAAGGATTGCCCAGGGAAGGATTGCCCAGGGAAGGATTGCCCAGGGAAGGATTGCCCAGGCAGCTGCAGAGGAGCCCTGCTCGGGGGGTTCCCCAGGCAGGCTGCTGCCCCGGGGGGGTTTGTGTGCAGCCAGGTCCCCCTGAGCCCAGGCTCCCCCCAGCCCAGAGCTGGCAGTGCAGCCCTGTCCAGCCCAGGCTCCCCGAGCAGCCCAGCTCCCTGCTCTCCTGGGGGCTCAGTCCCAGCTGAGCATCACATGTGCTTGTGGCTCCCAGACTCTCTGACTCATCACCAGCAATTATCAGGCTGATCAGTTATGAAACCTGTTCATTAACCTGTGTCTCATGGTAATCAGAATTAATTAGAGGGTCTCTGTGTCTGGCTTGCTTGTGCTTTTTGAGGTGAAGGATTTAGGTCTGGTGCTGAGGGCCAGCCAGGCTGCTCAGCCTGCAGCCCTGCTCTGGGGGAGCTGTGTCCTGCCAGGCTGGTGCCAGCCCCAGCGCTGCCTTCCTGCAGCTCTGCCAGGCCCCTGCTGCCCACAGCAGCCCTGGCAGAGCTGCAGCAGCTGCTGGGAGCACCTCAGTGACACATCCCCAGGTCCTGTCCCTCAAACTGTCCCTGCCGGTGCTGCAGCCTCGAGGACACACTGGATCAGTGACACATCCCCAGCTCCTGTCCCTCAAACTGTCCCTGCCAGTGCTACAGCCTCGAGGACACACTGGATCAGTGACACATCCCCAGCTCCTGTCCCTCGGTCCCTCCGGCCCTGCAGCAGGGGCCGTGTGCCCAGGGAGGGGACACATCCCAAATCCTGTCCCCTGGAAGAGCCGGGAAAGCCGCGGTGCTGCAGGCCGGGGCTGTGCCGCTGACGCTCCTCTCTCCTGGCAGCGGCGGCCACCTGAACCCCGCCGTGTCGCTGGCCGTGTGGCTGCTCGGGGGGCTCCACTCCACCATGCTCATCCCCTACTGGCTGTGCCAGCTCTGCGGAGGGGTGATCGGAGCCAGCCTGGCGAAGGTACGGAGCCGGGGCGTCCCTGGGCCCGGGGACTGTCCCTGCCAGCCTGGCCTGTGCCCTGTGGAGGCTTGCTGTGCCCTCTCAGGGGGTACCTGAGGGCTTGGGTGCCCATGCAGCGCTGCCATGCTCACACAGGCCTTTCCCCATGTTCACAAAGGTGTTTCCCTGTGTTCACCCAGACCTTTCCCCATGCTCACCCAGACCTTTCCCCGTGTTCACCCAGGTGTTTCCCTGTGTTCCCTCAGGCCTTTCCCCATGTTCCCTCAGGCCTTTCCCCGTGTTCACCCAGGCCTTTCCCCATGTTCACCCAGGTGTTTCCCCGCTCTCCTTCCCCCAGCACGGTGCCCTAAGGGCCGTTTGGGCTCGGTGCTGCCCATTCCAGCACCGTGTGCTGTTCCTCACACCCCCTGGGCACCCGGGGCTCTCACCCTGCCGGGACCGGTGCCCTCCAAGGTGCCCAGAGCCCTCTCAGACGGGTCTGTGCTTGCCAGGCAATCAGGCTGCTTTTCCTCCTGCAAATGCCCAGTTTAGCTCCTCTTTAACCCGCCCACGCTGCCCACGCTGCCCTGACAGTGAGCCCATCTGCTGGCACAGGGCACAGTCTGGAGCATGGTGGGCACTGAACAGTGAGCACTGGACAGTGAGCCCACTGCTGGCACAGGGCACAGCCTGGGCACTGGACAGTGAGCCCATTGCTGTCCCATTGCTGGCACAGGGCACAGCCTGGACACTGCGTAGTGAGCCCACTGCTGTCCCAGGGCACAGCCCGGGCACTGGACAGTGAGCCCATTGCTGTCCCAGGGCACAGCCAGGAGCACAGTGGGCACTCACGGCTGTCCCCACAGGCTGTGGCACCCAGCGAGCGCTTTGGCAATGCCAGCGGAGCAGCCTTCGTTGGCATCACGGCTGGCGAGCAGGTCCCTGCTGTGCTGGGGGCTGAGATCATCCTGAGCTCCTTCCTGCTGCTGGTGGTCTGCATGGGAGCCGTCAACGGCAGGACCAGCACCCCGCTGGCCCCGCTGTGCATCGGCCTCGCCGTCACCGCCGACATCCTGGCAGGGTGAGCTCTGTCCCCTCTGTCCCCACAGAGCCACCCAGCCATGGCTGCGGGGCTGCTGGCACCAGGCGGGCTCAGGAGGGACCCTGGGCTGTGGGGTGGAGCTGGGGGCAGCTGTAGCACCCTCCATCAGGGCACCCCAAATCCCACTGACCTGCTGCACCAGGGAGGAGACTGAGCTGGGATGGGGTGGGATAATGGGGTGGGATGGGATAATGGGATGGGATGGGATGGGATGGGATGGGATGGGACAGACCTGCCCTCCTGCAGCACAGCACAGACCCTGTGCCCAGGGACATGGAGCACACTGGGGATGCCATCAAATGAGCCCAGTGGGCACTCTGGCACTGTTGGGCTGGGGGCAGGAGCAGCCCGGGCTCAGCCTGGAGCAGGAGCAGCCTCAGCTCCTCCTGCATGTGGCACCCAGCCGGTGCAGCCCCCCGTAGTGGGTGATAAACCCTGGGCCCGCCCGGGCTGTGTTTGCCGTGGGAAGCCCTGAGCAAACAGGGGGCTTTGTGTCCCCCGCGTCCCCCCCGGGTTTGTGTCCCCCGCGTCCCCCCCGGTTTGTGTCCCCCGGGTCCCCCCGGGTTTGTGTCCCTCGGGTCCCCCCGGGTTTGTGTCCCCCGTGTCCCCACGGCTGCTGGCAGCACTGCCAGCCTCAGCAGTCAGCGATGGTGATGGAGTGCTGGGTTGAGGCAGCGCCCACCCCCTGTGGCAGCACCCCGGGCCGTGTTTGCACAAACCCCCGGGCAAATATTTACCCCTAAAGCTGTGATTGCTGCCGCCCTGCTCCCGAGTGTGAGCCGTGTGGTGTGCAGCCCTCCTGAGCCAAGCCTGGCTCCCTGGCCCCAGCCCAGTGCCCAGCAGAGCCCCGGGAAGACCCCAGGAGGGGGATGCTGCTGCCCACCCCACCACTGCCCTCCCCGAGGGGAGGCTGCTGCTCCCTGTCCCCCTGGCATGACACGGCCCCGTGCTCCCCTTGCAGGGGCGGCGTGTCCGGAGCCTGCATGAACCCAGCCCGAGCCTTCGGGCCAGCCCTGGTGGCCAACTGCTGGGACTACCACTGGGTGTACTGGCTGGGGCCCATGCTGGCCGCGCTCCTGGTCGGGGCCCTGCTGAGGTACGTGACAGCTCAGTGGCACTGGGACTGGCACCCCGCAGGCTGAGCCTGCCTTTGCCCCCGTGCTGCTGCCTCCACCCTCGGGCAAGGCTCCCAGCAGGTGCTTTTCCAGAGGGGAGACTCCTTTCCCTTCTCCTTCCCAGGAGGACAGGGTGACAGCAAAGGCCCAGCCTGTGTCCCACGTGCCTTGTGTGGTGAATCAGCCCGGGGCTGGTGCTGTCCCCGTGTCCTTGTTGTCCCCTTGCTGTGGCAGAAACGCTGACCCCGCATTTCTGTCTCTTTTTCCCCCCCACAGGCTCCTGCTGGGTGACCAGGCCACCCGCCTGCTCCTGAAGTGACAGCGGGCACAGGGCCCCGTCCCTGGGCAGCAGGTGCAGCCCAGCCCAGCTGCCATGGAACCCCCTGCCCCTGCTCCTCCCCTTCGTCCTGCCCCCCTGGCATCTCCCTGGCACCCATGACCCAGCCACTCTTCCTGTGCTGCTGGGGGAGGGTGGAAACCTGGCTCTGCCAGCCCTGCCATGGCACCGGCTCACCGGGAGCACCCTCTGGCAGCACCGGGTCCGTGGTGCCCCCGGCTGCTCTGGCACTGACCCCAGAGCTGTGCCCGGGCACCCCGGGAGCCCTGTGCCCACTGGGTGGGCACCACTGCCCCCACTGACACTGGCCGGGGTGATGGCAGCTCCTGCCCCAGAGGGTGACAGAAGGGGCTCTGGGGACACCTCCTGTCCCTGCGGGCAGCAGGAGGACACGGGGAGAGGCGCTCAGCTGCCAGGGTGGGCATCCCTGCCCTGCCAGGGGAGGAGTGCTGCGGGGGGCTGCTGGGCAGAGGGGGCTCTGCCAGAGGCAGGAGAGGATGGAGCTGTGTGGGCAGGGGGAGAGGAGCCAGCGCAGCAGCTCTGCGTCAGCCGGGCATCCGTCCCCCCGGCAGCGCTGCCCTGACTCATCCTGCGGCCGCCAGCCTCCCCTGGGGGGGCTCGAGGGGGCCGTGCCCCGCCGGGGGCTGCCCTGGCACACGGCTGTCACTGCGAGCACCCCCAGCCCCACGCAGGAGCCCCTCGTGTTCCCTGGGTGGTCACTCCGGATTTTGGGAAACGATAACTTGGGAAATGCCTGTTGCTTTCCCAGCGTGGCTCGGAGGTGCCCTGGGGCGGGGGTCGTGCTGCGGGAGGGCTGTGCCCGCACACCGGGCTGCCCACCCTGCCCAAACCCGGGGCACCAGGGCAGCGACGGGGCTGGGAGGCAGCGGGAGGCAGGAGCGGGAAGGGCCGGGCTGGAACGGGGTTGTTCCCCCTCCGGCGGGTCCGGACAGCCCCGGGGAGGGCAGATGCCTCCCCCCGATCGCACGGGTGGCTCTCGCAGTCGCCGTGCCCGGGCACTTCCCAGCTGTCCCCGTGGGGCTGGCAGGGCGCTGCCAATGTCACCTCTCTATTTTCGGCTTGTTTTCCGCTTTGCCGTGCCGGGAGGTGACCCACGCAGGGCGCAGGCAGCACAGGGATGTGTTTTTAGGGAAGGACAGCGCTGCAGAGGGGCCGGAGCGGGGGAATGGAGCATCCCCGGCCGGGGCTGCCCGGGAGCCGGGAGCCGGGGCGGCTCCAGGTGAGCCGGAGCCCGGCAGCTGCTCACTCAGGGAGGGAAATGGTGCAGCCCCCAGAAGGAGACAAACAGCATGAAGATGTCACCGGGACGGTTGTCATGGCAACGCCACAAAAATGCCGAACCAAACGCGGAGCAGAACGGCTGTTTCCTGCCCGAGGGGAGCCCGCGGGGACCCCAGCGAGTCCCCGCCCGGCTCGGGCCCCGCGCTCGGGGGGAGCGGGGCTGGGCCCCGGGGCTCCCACCTTCCCCTTTCGAGAGGATGCTCGGGCCCGCAGGAAACGCGCTTGGCTGCGGCTGCCTCTGCAGCGGGCAGCCTCCTGCACCCCAGACCCACCCTGCACCCCGAAACCCTGCACCCCAAATCCATCCTGCACCGTGGGTACTGCTGGCATCCTGGAACCCTGCACCCCAAATCCATCCTGCATCCTGGAGCCGTGCACCCCAAATCCATCCTGCACCACGGGTACTGCCTGCATCCAGGAGCCCTGCACCCCAAATCCATCCTGCACCTCAAATCCATCCTGCATCCTGGAGCCCTGGACCCCAAATCCACCCTGCACCCCAGCTCCCTCCTGCATCCCAGATCCCTCCCAGCCCCCATCTCCCTGCTGCACCCCAGGTTCAAGGCACCTCTCCCCAGAGCTGAGGGCAGGGGGCTCAGTAGGGCCCTCCAGGGCAGTGGTGCCACTGCCTGCGGTGCCCGGGTGCAGGGGACAGCAGGGGAGAGCCAGGGACAGCAGGGGACAGCAGGGGACAGCAGGGGGACAGCCCGTGCACGGCCTCGTGTGCTGCTGTGTTGGGCACATTCCTCTTTCGTTTGTCAGGGTGACTCTGATAAAGCATCTGTAACACCACGTTGTTTTTCCTTGAGTATTATTAAAGTGCTTGATTTATGCTAATTAAATACCAATTAACTTCCAAGCACTTAATGTGCTTTAAGGACATAAAATACATCTCATTCCCATTCAATTAAATTTGCATCAGGCCTGGACATGGGTCTGCGCCGTGTTTTTATCAGCACATGGCTCTGCTGGGATGCTGCCCTGGGATTCCCGGTCCTGGTGCCCGTTGGGATGGAAAGGATCCATAGGGGTGGGGGTGGCACTCAGGAGCAGGGGGCAGGATCCTGCTGCAGTCACAGCGTGGCCATGGCCGAGTGAGGGGCTGCAGAGGCACCGACACAGCCCCTGCGTGGTGGAAAGCTGGATGAGCTCAGGGCACTCGGGAGAGGTGCCAAAGGCTGCACAGACACCAGGCACATGCCGGCCCAGGTGCCACCAGCTGTGCCCGGTGCCAGCACTGTGGGAACACAGGGAGAACAACCAGGGTGCTGCAGAAGAACACCCAGCCCTTCCCTGTGCCTGCTGCTCACCAGCCCTCACCCTCGGTCTGGGGAAGGAGCAGCTCCCAGCCTTTCCCTTCCCAATCCTCCCTCCAGCAGGACTGGGGGGTCTGGCACTGTGTTCCCAAAGCCTGGTGCTCGAACAGCAGAAGCAAAGGCAGCACAGTGAGGGGTGCCAGGAGCAGGGCTGGGCGGGTTAGGATGGATGGACACTTCAGAACGTGCCCTGTGAGGGCACCTGGGAATTCTCCTGTTGCTCAGCCCCAAAGGTTTTCTGCAGCTGGAGAAATCCCTGCCTGAAACTGAAAGAAAGAGGTGAATGAATCCTCTCAGCTCAGGCTGCCCACCAGGCAGAGCCGCAGCGGCTGCAGAACCCCGAGCTCCTCTCTGGCGCTGCAGCATCCCCGGCAGCTCCCGGCCCGCGCCCGGTGCCCGGGGGCTCCCAAGGGTGCCCGGGCCGGGCGGGGCTGGGTGGCTGCGTGGGCACAGCCGGGGGACAGCGGAGGTGGCGATGACGCGCGGAGCCAGCTCTGCGCGTGAGCTGGCAGCTGCCGGTAGGAGCGGGGAGCGAGGCGATGCGGGAGTGGGAGCGGGGATGGCATTGTGGGGAAGCTGCGGCAGCCGCGCCGCCGCCGGCCGCTGCAGGCGGCGTGGGGATGGCTCCGGCCCGCCTCGGCTGTGCCCGCGGGGCTGCGGGGCTGGGCAGCATCCCTCGCCGCTGTGCCACCTGCCCCAGTGGTGTGCCATGGCCCTCAACACCGTGCCACGTCCCTCCTGCTGTGCCGTGGTCCTTGTCCCTGTGCCAAATCCCCCAGCAGTGCCTGTGTCCCCATCACTGCCCGGTGTCCCAGCAGTGCCCCGTGTCCCCAGCACTGCCCGGTGTCCCAGCACTGCCTCGTGTCCCCAGCACTGCCCCGTGTCCCCAACACTGCCCCGTGTCCCCAGCACTGTCCCATGTCCCCAACACAGTGCCACCTCCCTGCCCACCGTGCAGTGCCCCAGCACCGTGCCTGCAGTGCTCCCCCAGCCCCCCAGGCTGTGCAGAGCCCCGAGGAGCCTCCCCAGCTCGTGCAGAGCTCCAGGGCCGCCTGGCAGTGTTCCCCGGGGCAGTGGGCACACTCCCAGCTCAGCGCTGTCGGTGCCACAGCTGCTCCCCGTGGCACAGCGGGGACAGCCCCGGAGCAAGGCTGCTGGCAGGGAATGTGGGAACAGGGGCTCTCTCCGTTCCACCCCGCTTCTCCTGCTCACTCCACTGATCTTTCATTTCCTCTCACTGGCATCCGCCACCCGCGGGGGCTCCCTGGAGAGGGGCTGGCACAGAGGGGTCCCCTGGGGACCCCCGGGTCCCTGCAGCCCCATTCCCCGCAGGGGAGGGGGAGCAGACCCCCCTCGTCCCCGCTGCCATCCAGCATCCCTGCTTCCCCCAGCTCCGACGGCTTCCTGTGCCCAGCACTGCTCGAGCTGAAGGATTTACATTTTAAAGGGCTTTTAGAATGGATTTGCACAGACATTTATTTGCAAGTGTTATTTTTTTTTCAGCTTTTGCCACTTTGAATGTTTGTGGAGAAGAAATAACAGACAGAAACCACAGCAGGGAAAGCCTCAGAGAACTCGTTTGTGCTCATGCAAATGCGGCGAGGGTGGCAGCCCAGGGTCACAGCGGCGATCCTCAGCGGCAGCCCGGGCTGCTGTCGCTCCTTGCCGTGTCCCCCAGCTCCGGGAGGTGCCAGCTCCCGCAGTTTGCCAGCAGCCAGCAGCGGGGCCGCGGTGCGGGCAGCTCCGGTCACCCGGGGCCGGCGGGAGCCGGGGCTCGGGACGGGAATGCTGCTGGTGTTCTGTGCCGGCAGCAGCCAGAGCGCCGCACAATAAATAGCCTTTTTAATTACTGCACAATATTTACAAGATTGCTTCCTCATTTGGGAAATTAAAACAAATGCTCCATCAAAATGATCAACACTGCGCAGAGAAGCGCGGGGCTGATGGAGGAATCCTCGGGCTGCGGATGGAGGTTGGCATGAGATTGCTGCTGAGACTGGCACCTCGAGCTGCCGGGGCTGCCTCTGCTCCCGTGCCCTGCAGGACAGGGGTGCCAGGACCGGGGTGCCCTGCAGGACCGGGGTGCCAGGCGCTGCCTCTGCTCCCGTGCCCTGCAGGACCGGGGTGCCAGGACAGGGGTGCCCAGCAGGACCGCAGTGCCCAGCAGGACCAGCAGGCTCTGGCAGCTCGGCTGTGGCGCGGCTCGGCCAAAGAGAGCCGGGGCGGTGCTGCAGGGGATGCTGAGCTGCCAGGGCCGCTCAGCCCGGGATGGGCTGGCAGCGGGTGGCTGTGCGGTGCCGGGGAGACGCCTGTCCCGGGGCTGCTCTTCTCCCAGCCCCCTCCCATTCCGAGCTCTTCCCTCAG